TTTCTTTATCAACCATTTTGATGGTTCTGACAACTGGCCTTGTCTTTCAGAGTTCTGAGCCTTTTGGATTACTATTATAACACATTCTAACTTCTTGAGTAAACATTGCTTCAGTCCTCTGATATCCAAAGGTGGGTCAACAACACCTGCTTCCCTGCCCAGATGGCTACAAGCTTATTGATAAGTTATCACATAATACTGCTTATACTGAGAAGTCCTATCTGGGGTGCTATGTGGTACCAGGGAGAGTGAAGTTCCGTCTCAGCATTCTTAGTCTCATTAATAAAAGAATTTAAGACCAGACTCAGATCAAAGCTCATAACAATTTTATTAGAGCTTAAAAGAAAAACCACTGGTCGGGCATGCTGGAAATCTCATCTGCTGGGGAAGGGAGATGTGGAAAAGGAAGGAGCAAAGCCTTGGTTTTTGTCAGACATGACAGTTCAGCAAGCAGCCATGTGGAAAGAAGGGAGATAGTTTCAGAGAAAGAGGAAATAAGAAAGAGTAAATACAGAGAAAGTAGACAGGTTCTGGCCAATATCTGAAGAAATAGAAAGAAAAGAAGAAAAAGGAAAAGCTTTGTCTTTCTGAGTTAAGACTTGAGCAGACAAGCCAGGAGGTGATGACTTATGCCTTTAATCCAAGCACTTTGGGAGTCAGAGGCAGTGAGTCTCTAAATTCAAGGCTAGCCTGGTCTACAGAGTGAGTTCCAGGACAACCAGAGCTATACACAGAAACCCTGTCTTGAAAACCCCAAAACAAACAAGCAAGCACATATACAAACAAACAAACGAACAAAATGACAAGGCTTGGGAAGGCAGGTTCATGTCCCCAGCATGGGATGTTGGGAAGCAAAAGTACTGCTTCTATTGGCCAATCAGTGTTTTATTCATCAACCAATAAGAGAAACATATACAGAAGAACATCCCCTATCAAATTCTTTTGACATTTCTGCCCTTTTAAAATCTGTACCATTAAGGTACAAAACCTACCATTTGAGCAATCTTGCTATTTAAGGCCTTAGGAATATCTTTAGAACTAGGTGTCTGGACTTTCATGGTGGACTAGGTTATGTCTATCCTCCACTTTCAACTGATCTCCTAAATGATGTTAGGGTTATCTCTTCAGAGGGAAGGATGATACATACCATGGTCCTGAAGATCATGAGGGTGCTGTTGAAGCTTAGCAAGACAAAACTATTTGCTCCTGCTCAAAGGAATGGAATCTGCCTCTGGTCCCGAGTTGAGATATGACATACCATTGTCATTGTCTCCTCCCTTAGGAGTTAATTTTTGACTAGGCTCGCTAGTTAGTTGTACTTGCCTCTAAGCCTGAAAACCAGAGTTTCGTCTTATGTGATAAAAACAGAACAGACTCAAAAAGAGTTGTCCTCTGCTCTCCAGGTGTGCAGTGGTGTATACCCATGATCACCTCTCTACATCATGCAAAATAAATACATAAGTAAATTAATCGATAAATGTGATTTTAAAATGTCAATTTATCTGGGAGTATTAATCACTTGGCTAATCACCCATGCAATAGACCCTGTCTGACTACTAATTCACTTGAAGCCATGCTGAAGAGATAAGAGGAATAATGAACACTGTCATGATACAATGTGCCTTTTCACCTCTAGAGATGGACAGTGACCAAACTCCAGGCTTCTTCATACTTTCACTGAAGGAGCTCCCAGCCCCCTCCACTTTACCATGAAGCCTCTTGCCCTCCATGGGGTTGTCTGCTGAACCGCCATTGCTGAACATGCAAGCCTAATTCAAAAGCATGGCTTCTCTCTTCATCTCCTCCAACTCTCTTTTCTGGGCAGCTGCCAAGATTTCCAGCTTAACTTCCTCAGTGTTTTTCTTTTAAACTCTTATCAATTTTTTTCTCAAGCTTCCTTCTGAGTCTTAAATTCTCTTATTAATTTGACTAAGAACCCAGAGAACCGCAATTTCCTTGGTAACATATGGCAACCTAGATAGGATTTCCTAAATCATCTGACAATTCTAATTCTGGTAGTTCCTAATAGTTGCCAGCTCTTTTATGTATATTTATGCCACTTGTATTATATAAGTCTTCTGTTAGATTTCTGAGGCAGTGTATAAAGACAGAAAGTAGAAAGGGGATGTTGTCTGACCTCAACATATGAAATTGTTAATTTTACACAAGGAAGAACAGTCACTCTCCCATGGGATGGAGGTCCTATGTAGAGAAAAACCTGAGACCCATTGTGGAGGTATAAGAGGGGGTCTTAGAAATGAGGAAGCTGATACAGCTTTGGGGGCTGCCTATGGGTTTGTGATCTCTCTTTCCTGGAATTGTCAGCTTCCAGCAAAACAATTTGACTTGGGAGAAAGGCTGTTGCTACTGTCCTACTGAGTTGAGCAAGGTCAGCTGTCATCTCCTAGGAACCCTGGCTTTATAAGGCAGTCTATCACCTTATCCAGCTTAAAGAGCAGGATATTCTCCAAGCTGATGTTGTTGGTGGCATGAAGTTATTCCAGGCCTGAGGCCACGTGTTCCCAGTTGTATTATGACTAGTCACACTAAGCATGTAGAGTTAGACATGCCCTAACATTGTGAACTCCTAGCAGTATCTTAGAATAAATTAAAAGATAGTGGACATTGACTATCTAAGCAGTACATCTGTACACAGGTGGGAAGCTACTCTTAAGAGGCAATTGTGTCTGTTTTCTTGGCTATCAGTAATTGGAATCCCCGCCCCCTGCAGAAAGCTCAAACTGGCAGAAGAAAAAGGCTAAAGCCTGGTGCCAGGCAGAGGAGGAAGTTGTTTCCAGGAAAGAGATTTCATGTGACGAACCTCTTTTGCCCTCTGTTAAAACCCAACATCATGTCAGATCCACAGAAGATGGATGTGGTTGGTGAGTTGAGGGTCACTGGACTTCTTTGTTCTTTTCCCCCACCTGGCCATGTTGACTAAATCTTCTCCCCGTGATTTTCAGTTTGGCTTATCTAATTGACTTAGTGAGAACATGTGTCTGAGCCTAGCTTGTCAGGGCTGCCAGGGCCCAGGAACTGGTCCTGACAACTCTGGTCACAAGCTCCTTAAGTAGATCTAGTAGATTTTTAGTCAATTATTAGTGATTTCCCATTAAAAAAGATTGTATCATATGCACATAGAAATAATTTTACTTTCTCAAGTCCACCTGGGTATTCTTTATTGTTTAACTCCACTGGATAGAGCCTGAATGGGGGTGTTGTAAGATCAGGGCAAAGACCTTAGGTTTTGACTAAGAAGTAATAACTTGCTCCCTGTAGATGCTATCATTTCAAGGTATCTCCCCCTACTCCTGTTTTGGTGTCTGTTTTTTTTTTTTTTCAAATGAAAACATGTTGGCTTAGTCTCACACTTTTTTTGTCTATTGAAACACTCTATATGGCTTTGACCTTCATCCTGTCACACTAAATGATGTTGAAAGTAATCCTTTTTCTTTTTTCTTCCAGGAGTTATTCATACTCTGTAAATCTATGCTTCAAATTCTTATGTGTATTCTTGAATGACTGATCCTCTCAATAAAGATACCCCCACACACACTGCCCTGAAACTTCCAACAATGTTTGTTACACTGAAGCCTACTTAGGGGCTATTTGTAAAGCGAATCCACCTTTCTGTCTGCGCTGTCTATGTGCTATTTCCTCTTCCAGCCAGTTACATTTTGCTTCTGTCTTAGGAATTTCCATTTGGAAATGAAATCAGAAGGCTTTACTGTGAGGTGCACTTGACAAGAGTGGAGTGTTACCACGGCAAGAGACAAAGTGACACACTGTGGCCCTAAGCATGGCTTGTTTGTTGTTTTTACCATTCTCAATTCCATTGTCTTTAGGAAAATACATATTAAATCTATAGGCAGTTTTGGCTTTTTCAAAATTTTTCTTAATTATCTTATTTACTATCCTAGGCAATTCATGGAATGAACACAGTAGCACATTTGACAAAATGCTTTCGGAACTCCATAGACAGCCCACACAGACAATTGTACAGAAAGACCACATTACTAAAATGGTTAACTACAGGTTTGGGCATTCTAGAACATCTTCACAACCGGGTTTTCAGACACACTCATCCAGCTTCTTATCTGGTTTTTTCCCTTTGCAGAAACTGTAAAGTTTATAGAACGGGAGCCTTGTTTCTTCCATATATTATGGGCCAGAAAATACAGCGTTCATTATCTTTCTGGTCCTTGCCTTGCCTCCGCCTCCCTTGTCTATGAAAACTGTGTGACAGGTCTTCTAGGACAGTCCTATTTTTCTCCTCATGGTTTGGCATACTCATTAACAGCTCTTTATCCTCGAAAGCACCTTGGTTTGGATGCTAACTGGTCCACAGCTTGTCATTACCAACTCGCAAAGGGTGCCATGTTGCAGGGGCCCACTAGGTGTCAGTAGCGTAGCCTGCCAAGAATCTTCAGAGCCAGCATTTCATTACAAAAGTCAAATCAAAGCAAATAATTAAGTGTGGTTCAAGAGCTACCTGCAGCTTTGACCGGTTCAAAACAGGTGAGACAGAAGCAGGAGGTGTGGAGGATCAGGTACAGTACAGGTGACTCCTTCCTGGGATCCAATAGGCAGGAAAGATTGCCTTCCTTATTAAAGGACTTCAGTGATTCACGGAAAGAGTGTCCTTCCCAATTTACACTCACAAGATGAAGCCGGTGTTCAGAGAGGGAGGAAACAGCTTTGCATGAAGAGGGATTTCTCTTCGTAGATTTCTCTTCAATTCAGAATCTGATGAACGTCCTGTAGGTAGATCTCTTTGGAAGCCTACATTTGATCGAGAAGCTGAGCTGCCAGAACAACAGCAGATTTTAAGAAGATTTGAAAACATGCACCTGCAGAATCATCACACTGGTCTCATTTGGGAATGATTTTTGGATTGCACATATATTACCTCTCACCCGGGTAATGAGGCTGGAAACCTGCCCTGCCTCCGATGTATGGCACACGTCAGCCCACAGGTGTGTAGTAAGAGACCCACAGGCATGGGGCTTGCAATACATATGGCTTTTAGTTCTTGGAACTGGTTGCTATGGCTGATGGTCCTCGCATGTTCGGAAGCATCGTCGTATGTGAATGAATCCTCAAATTCCACTGCCCAGCAGGCACCTGATGCTCGGTTTGCTGCTTCCAGCTCAGACCCCGATGAAAGGATATCTGTGTTTGAACTGGATTATGACTATGTTCAAATTCCCTATGAGGTCACCCTCTGGATACTGCTCGCATCTCTTGCAAAGATCGGTAAGTCCTCGAATACATGTTTAAGGGGGATTGCTTCCAAGCTAAGGTATCACATATGAAAACCTCTTATAGATGGACGATGGGTTAAGTGGATATTAACTGTTAACTTGTAGTGCATTAAAATGACATCGCCTGAAATCAAGAGAAAGTAGTGGCTGTTTAATGTTTCAGGATTGCATTTGAAATTTAAATGCAGACTTCTACGCCCTTCATTGTTTTGACTTTGTAATTCAAGAACACAACCATGTGACTTACCTGTCATGTAAACATCTCATGCTCTATGATTTTTTTAATAATACAATGTAGATTGTACAGAGCTTGGAAAATGTCAGAGATGAGTAATATTTCTTTTTACAAAATGATCTTCCTTCATCCCAGCCACGTATTGTAATTTGCCAGTAGCTTTAGTTATTCACTCTTTCTAAGAGACTCATGTTTCTTGAGAAGTGACAGGAAGCAAGGAGAAAAATTAGCACAGGCAACTCTTACACCCCAGCGATGTGGAGTGGGGTATATGAGACACTATCTGTTGGTAATGTATGGCTCTCTTCCTAACTCAAATGGAGCTGCCACTCACCTCTGCTTTCCTTTGTCAATGGAAGTGAGCTCAAGTGAATGGATTGAATTCTAGTCAATTGCTCTTCACCCAACAGTTCTATGACTGGTTCACATTCTAAGACCAATGTGCCACCCCTTCTCTCCTTAAAACCGCTTATTCCAAAGTGGAAAATCCATACAATTTTGTCAGTTCCTGCACATAACATTGCCTCTGCCTCCGCTATGATAAACTGTAGACAATTTGAGGGTACAGATGGTCTTATTGATGTAGAATCTTTCAGACATTTTTATTTTTATATACATACATGTATATGTGTACACACACACACACACACACACACACACACACACACACACAGCATTCAGCAAATCGCAAGAGATTTCTCCCAACCAGCCCTTTCCATTCCATTGTAATCCTTTCTCATAGCTTAAAACACATAGCTGCTCTAAAGAGGCACCCAAGTACGCCCGAGGCTCCTAGCACACAGGAAGGAAGGAGTTGCACAGGCAGACAAGAGCCCATAAACATTCACTATGGACTACACAAAGCTCAGTCTACATTTGGGAGAAATCTCTTGCGATTTGCTGAATGGTTAGTTTACACAAATCGTACATTGTTTGGAAGGAGTGTTTGAGTAAAACTGGCTCTCTAAATGAGTACTGTGCTCAGTCCAGGGCAGGGTCTAGCACCTTTCATTCAGCTAGATCGGTAATGGGAATTTTCAAAGTTGTCTCCCATGACACCTTCGTGCCATTTGTAAACAATGGGGAGTATTGTCTCCACTTGACCCTCTCCCACAACTTTCCTCCCTCTGCTTGGTATGTCTCTTTTTAAACATTTGCATAAGGTGTTGTTTGTTACTTAGATGTATTGCTTGTGCTCAGAATTCACTGTCAGGAAATATGAAGAGACTATGGGGGGACATTGTTGTTCAAGGGACTCTCAGTTAAATGTTATTGATTTTCATTGATATAATTCAGTATGATTTCAGAAAGGAAAAGTACTGTAGTAGTTTATCAGTTAACATACTCAAGAATGAGTTTATAATTACTACTCTTCAGGAATCTAGATAAGTCTGTACTCTATAAGCATTAGGGAACAGAAAAGAGGCATAATTATTAAATACATGTTATGTGCTAAATACTGAGCATGACATTCTATATAATATGATGGTTTGTTTATTGTGATATAAACAGTAATAATAATAAAGATGATGGTACCTATGGTGGTATCCAAACTTTAGCATTTAAGGAATACCCATGAATGAGTATTCAGATTAGATTCTGAATAATAACATAATTTTAGGCCTTATTATCATCATCATGTATTATTTCCCATTCATTCAGGCGCATTTGCAGAGTACCCACGCAATGCCTGGAAGCAAAGAGTTTGGACATTAAGGCACATAGTTTCACAGGGATGAGAGTTTAACCTAAACTCATCATTGACACTTTGACAGGAAAATAGCATCCCCTTTAAATACCTAACTATAAAACACAGATACTACAGAATAAAGATAATTAAAGTCACTTCTGACATTGTGAGTTATCTTTTAGTTCCATCACACTTCTGGGAATATTATGGGAACCATTCCTGGAACCATTTGGAAGGACAGTACTGAAGGTTGTCTGTCTTCCATTTCCTAGGACTTTATGTTTCTTTCCATTTCCCTTTCGAGCACTGGAAATTATTAGAAGTTTAAAGTGACTGACTTTGGGATTCTGCTGTCCTTCAGAAAGGGGACAAATGTTTTAAAGCCTAACATGCGTAAGTGCTTCCTATTGCAATGTGGCAAGCATGTGGCCTGTTTCTGCCACAGCTCTGCAGGCCCATTTTGCCTTAAGGCAGATAGATCCTTTTTGTGAGTGCCTCAGTTCAAGGAAATGGAGCCAGAATGGCAAAACAGAGGTTTTGAGAAAACACACAGGCTCTGTGCCTTCCATGGTATGATTTAGAAGTTAAGTTTGATTAAAATAAACCCTAAATGGAAGACCAAAGTAAGGAAGGTGAAGAAGAAAATGAGGCCAAAAGTGTTGTGATTAGAAAACTGAGAACTTGAGCTTTAGAAGGCCTTGAACTGGTCTCAACACTAGTTAAGTCTAACTGAGAGTATGAGTGACATTCTTTGGTGATAATTATGCTCAACTGTATCAACCTGCACGCACGCTCGTGTG